GCCTGTCCAAGGGCTGGCTTGCCGGGGCAAGCCAAGGGAAGGCATGGGGGTGTGGCCTAATAGGCTGTCAACTGCACTGTCAGGAGTGTGGCCTAATATGCTAATGAGTTTCTGCTGTTGGGTGTGGCCTATTATGCTAATGAGTTCCTGCTGGGCTTTTTCTAAAAAAAAGCCCTGCATTCTTCTAATATCTAGCAGTCTTGCTAACATTCTGTGACTGTATCTGCTGCAGGGTCAATGCTTTTATCAAAATGTGGCCATCATTTTAGCATTTAAGACCATTTTCTAAATGAGGAAAACATAGATGTAATATCGGTCTTTTTGTTCTAATAGTCATTCCTAATGTTCTGACTGTTCCCCCCCCCCTTTCTTTTTTTCAGGCTGTCAGTTCAAGACATCCTATGGTATGAAAGATATGGAGCGGCATTTAAGGACACACACAGGTAAGCCTCTGGGGTTATGGCCGAAGAGAGTCTTTTCCACCAGATGCGATTAGCTTTCCCTGAAGCTGAATCAGACTGTGGTGGAATGTAGCATTAATCATGTCGTTCATATATGAAATTAATGGATATGTTTGACATGTGAGGCTTGACTTTTCATCTTGCTTGCACAATTATTCGGGTTTCCTGTGAAAGTTACTCTTCCTTTCTTCAGCCAGTCAAAATGAAGAGAGGTATTGTTTGTTGCTAGAATATAAAAAGCTGATATTCTTCCAAACTAGCTCCCACCATAAAGAAGAATGCCAGACAGTTGATTCAGTGGCCATGGGAGCAAATCCCATTGTGAAAACAGTGTCTATCAGAGTGGCATCATATCACACCTTGAGAGAGTATGAATCAGAAGGTTTAGTAAAGCTACGTGTTGGCCTATGTAATGCTGTCTCTATAAGCTGGCCACACTCTATAGTCTCTGAATTTCTCAGATCTGGAATTCGGTGAAATCTGCTTCACACACACCCCTTTTTTTTTTTTGCAAACTCTGGATAGGAAGCTTTAAAACTTAACCGCTTTTTTCTAAAAGTCAACTTAGAACAGGAATGACATGTATCCTCATTGTAGGATTGATTTTATTGCGGCATGCCAGTGTTTTGTGTATTTATGCAGTAATGTTTTATTTAACTGGATCTATAGTTAACAGGTTGTATTTAAATAAAAGTTTTAATTCATACGCTGGCTATTTGTTGGCTGAGAAATACCGGCTTTCACTTTGTATCTGGAACAGATGAACAAACCTCAGTACCTCCCTTCGAGATTGAGGACTCTGCCCTGCAATGATTTTATGTTTTAAAGGTGCATTTAATTACCAAGCAGCATTGTGATTCTTGTGGTTAATGTGTTCCTTTGTTTCAGTCAAAGAGTTTTAAAGTGATGCCCCGTCCAAGGTGGGCCCAAGTGGCCACCACAGATCACTGGTCCATCTAAGCCAATACTGTCTGTTCTGACTAGCAGTAATTAATTCACTAAGGTATGGAGGGCTATTTTTGGGCAGGAACACACAGGAACGGAGTTCCGGCTGGCTCCCAAGTTGGCCATACCCAGCAGGAACTCATTAGCATAATAGGCCACACCCAACAGCAGAAACTCATTAGGATTGGCTACATTAGGGGTGTGTGGCCTAACATGCAAAGGAGTCCCTGCTACAAAAAAAAGCCCTGGGTTTTGACAACAAACAAGGTAAACAGAATAACAAGCAAAAGGGGTGTGGCTGGATGACCACACTTCTGGTAACATGGGGGTGCGGCCTAATGTGCTAATGAGCTGTGCTGTCAGGGGTGTGGCCCAATATGCTAATGCGTTCCTGCTGTTGGGCGTGGCCTGTACATGGGACCTTTTTTGCTCAAGATGATAATGATTGAGCATTGGCCTTGTGCATGAAGAGCATGTGTTTTACGCCTACCCCCGCAGCAAACACAGGAGCTAGTTTTATGTGTTAGAAAAAGAAAGTGCCCTGTGATGTATTGAAAATGAGAAGAGAAATGGTGGGGGGGGGGTTGTTAGTGGAAGAAAGTAAATATATATAAAGCAAAGTGGCTACCTTTATTAGATCTGTTCTGTTGACCTGGTGGGGCAGCAAGTTTTGGAGGTACACCATTGTCTGGAAATGAATTCTGCCTCATTTCAAAACATGCTACTGTGTCCTTAACTGCATTGTCCAAGCAATTCAAGTTAAGATATGAGCAAGGTGCAATTCTGTCTTTGTGAATGATGTTTCAACAGAGGTTGCCACAGCAGCAAGCAATCCCATTTTCGGAGCTACATATGTGTGCAAATATTTCATCTGTGACTTCTTTGACATTGAAAAGTGGCATGGAGGAAGAAACCCCTGTGCATCTTGAAACAAAAAAGAAGAGGAGAACCTTCCTGCAAGATTAATTTAGGATTTCTGCATTTAGTCTGGTGCTAAGATCTTTCAGCAAATTCATACTGTCTCTGTCCTGAGACTCTGCTTTTTTCCCCCTTCAGGTGACAAGCCCCATAAATGTGAAGTTTGTGGTAAATGTTTCAGTCGCAAAGACAAGCTGACAATGCATACGCGATCCCACACTGGGTTTAAACCTCACAAATGTAAGCATTGTGACTACGCAGCTGCTGAGAGCAGCAGCTTGAACAAGCACCAGCGCATACACTCCAACGAGCGCCCTTTCAAGTGCCAGATTTGCCCTTATGCTAGTCGCAATTCCAGCCAGCTGACCGTACATCTACGATCCCACACAGGTGAGTCACAGATGTTTCCCCCAATGTTAACTTCAACTGAATAGGGGCAAATGAGGCAAGCACAACTCCCCCAGACTGTTTATATTCAGGGAAACGGGGGTGGGTGGGTGTCTAAGCCCTCTTTTTCTACATGCTGTGGTCCTGATCAAAGTTGAAGAAGAGTTGGTTTTTGTACCCCGCTTTTCTCTACCCTAAGGAGTCTCAAAGTGGCTTACAAATCGCCTTCCCTTCCTCTCTCTGCCTCAGTCACCTTGTGAGGGAGATGCGGCTGAGAGAGCTCTGAGAGAACTGTGACTGGCCCAAGGTCAACCAGCAGGCTTCATGTGGAGGAGTGAGGAATCAAACCCGGTTCCCCAGATTAGAGTCCACTGCTCCAGATTAGAGTCCACGCTGGCTGGGCCTGCATATGGCTGGCAAGTGTGGAAATTCAGAACAGGCATCTCCACCCCATCTGAGGAAAGCTGTCGCATTTAGTGAGGCCTGCAGTGAACTTCATGCTGACTGGGGGATTCGATCCTCCCAACTTCCTGGCCTAGCTCTAACCACCTCCTGACACTAGCTGTAGAACGTCCCAAATAGTGAGTTGTCTCTCTGTATGACACTAGCTGTAGAACGTCCCAAATAGAGACCTCTGCACTCAGATCTCACGGATCCTGGCTCAGCAGCTTAGCCACTTCAGTAACTCACATGGGTGGCTGACTGGCATGGTGCAGAATTTAGAGTGTTGGAACAGGATCTGGGAGACCCAGGTTCGAATCCCCCACTCTGCCATGGAAGCTTGCTGGGTGACCTTGGGCCAGTCACACTCCCTCTCAGGCTCACCCGCCTCATGGGGTAGCTGTTGTGAGGACAGAACGACAGAGAGGAGAAGCACGTAAGCAGCTTTGGGACCCTGTTAGGGAGAAAGGTGGAATATAAATGGAATAAATACATTTATCTTTTTTCCTCCAATTCAAGGCTTTCTTTGCCCAAGTCAAATCCTGTAAGGACAGCGAGACAGATCTGCACATCAGATCCATCTCTAGATTTGAAAATTAAAATATGCTGCCCGCATTTAGACTTCCTTAGTAAAGTCTGGCATATGAAAATGGGGTTATGGGAAAGTGTACCGCTCCAGGCTTCCATCGGGGAAAGTAGATAAAAATTCAATAACTGACATTCGAAATGCATACACAACTGGAGGTAGCCAGCCTATTAAAATAAACTGAATTGGCAGGCTGTGTGTCTTCATTAATAAAAATGTGTGTAATAAACATTTTACACCACGGGTCTGAATTATTAAGCAGACACATGGATTAGAACAGTACGTCGCATCACAATTTGAAGAATATGCCGCTTGGATCGATTAAATATGTAGCCAGGCGAGCAAATTATGCCTTCGCCTTTTGCAGCCTCTCATTTATGAAGATCTATAAAACACTAAACTGGTAAAGCAAAATTAAACTGTATGTGTTGTGATTATTAAAGAACAGAAACATTTACCAAACTGAGGACTTTCCCTGCATTTTATTTCTGCCTTTAAACGGCACCCTGTGGTTCTTTCACTCTTCTCTGTGTGTGTGATAAGTAGGATCATAAAAGAACATTGCGCCGTTCAACTGGTTGAGAGCAACAGTAAGTCAATGGTGCTGTTTTATGCGGTGGTATTAGCAATAATTGGCTATTCTGAGTGAAAGGGGAAAACCTTGCTGTTCATACTGTGAAAGATATTGATACGGCGGATAGTCAGCATTGTGTTGATCTGGTGAGTAAGCGGGAGGCGCTCTCTTCGGAGGCACGCCGGAGCAAAGCAGTATTGTGGATATGAACCTTGCAGAATCCCTGCTAGCTGCCTTGTCGGCTCTTGGGAGGTCAGAATGGTGGGATACAAATTTTGCAAATAATAAATAAATGCAGCTTTTGCTGCTGGTCTGCACCAAACTTTCTACTTCACAAGGCTGTGAGTCAGATGGTGCATAATGAAACATTTTGCAAAATCTTAAGTACAGAGTGAGAAAGCCTGGTTCCTGACTGCTAATTCGCAGTAGTGTGCTCAAGGACGTTAACGCAGGGACGGGTATGCCGCTGGAACTGGGCTTGGTTTCCTCTGGTTGTCATTAAGCTGTGTGGGCTTCTTCCTGCTATTGTTATTACACACAGTAGGTGGGAATTAGACCTTACCGTAGCAGTATTGTTGAGTATGTCCTTATATTTATCCCATCTAAGTGATTGGGTGCCATTCACACCTTTTGGGACAACATAATGGAGTACACTATCGCAGCGAGCCGGTGGGATGTATTGGTTAGAGTGTCAGACTAGGTTCTGGGAGACCCAGGTGCAAATCCCCACTGTGCCATGGAAGCTTGCTGGGTGACCTTGGCCCAGTTACACACTCTCTGCCTAACCTATCTGACAAGCATGTTGTTGTGAGAATGAGATGGAGGAGAGGAGAAAGATGCCAGCCGCTTTGGGTCCCTAACGGGCAGAAAGGCAGTAAATAAAGAAATAGGGCAAAACCTGATCCTCTCTTCCCACATCAGTGGATTACACTGAAGAGGACTCCTTGGGGACGATGCAGTATGTCTCTGTATAGAGCCATGGCCCCATCTGCATGGGACGTTCCTACAAAGTTTGTATGGGACATGACTTGGGAATGTTTAGTCTGGAGGAGAGGAGGCTGAGGGGGGGACATGACTGCTCTCTTTAAGGATCTGAAGGGCTGTCCCTTAGAGATGGGCAGGGAACTGTTCCTGTTGGCAGCATAGGACAGGACTTGCAATCATGGGTTTAAATTAAGGGCGGGACGGTACCGGCTGGATATTAGGACAAAACTTTTTTACAGTAAGAGTTGTGCAACAGTGGGATCCGCTGCCTAGGGAGGTGGTGAGCTCCCCCTCGCTGGCAGTCTTTAAGCAGCAGCTGGACAAACACTTGTCAGGGATGCTCTAGGCTGATCCGGCATAGATGGCCTGTATGGCCCCTTCCAACTCTGTGGTTCTATGATTCTGTGTCTACACACAAAGAACCAGTTATGATAATAGACATCTGGGCTAGGAAATATGTCTTGGGGGATATTCAGTTTCAGTGGGTTGGAGGGAAGCCATGTATTAATTCCAATCTCTTTAAAAGGTGATTACAGAATGCTCTTTACCCAGATTGCGCAGTAGCTCTCTGTTTGGCCTCCCTCATTCAAAATGCTTTCCTTGCCGACAGGAGATGCCCCCTTCCAGTGCCGTTTGTGCAGCGCCAAATTTAAAATCAACTCTGATCTGAAGAGGCACATGCGTGTGCACACCGGGGAGAAGCCCTACAAGTGTGAATTCTGCGACGTGCGCTGCGCCATGAAAGGGAATCTGAAGTCGCACATCCGCATCAAGCACAATATGGAGAACACCTTCAAGTGCCTGGAGTGCGAGTTCCAGTGTGGGAACAAGACCAGTCTCCGGCAACACCTGCGCACTCACCAGCCCGAGCAGCCAGTGAAATGCCCCGAGTGCAGCTACTCCTGTTCCAACAAAGCCACCCTCAAGGTGCACGAGAGGATCCACTTCAAGGATCGCCCCTTCAAATGCAAGTTCTGCAGCTTCGACACCAAGCAGCGCAGCAACCTGACCACCCACATGAAGAAAGTGCACCGAGAGAAAGTCAAGGTCAAGAAGAAGACCGCGGAGAAGACGGAAGGAGATGGGCCCAAGGAAGGCGGCGCCAGGCAAGTGGCCAGGCTGGAGGCCAAGAAAGCCTTCAAGTGTGATCTTTGTGAAGCCTCGTTCGTCCGGGAAGATTCTCTGAGGAGCCATAAGAGGCAGCATGTTGAATATAATGGGGCAAAAAATACCGAGCTGGCCGTTCTGCAGTTCCAGATGGACCCAAGTAGGCCAACCGGGGCTCCTATTACAGTCAGTCATCTCCAAGTGCCGCTGCAGGCGTCGCCCTACAGTGAAGGGCAAGTCAAGATCATCGTCGGACATCAAATGCCTCCGGCTGGCAGCCTCGTCCAAGCGGCTTCAGTCAACATCGTGCCTCCCACCTTAATAAGCCAGAATCAGGAAGACCTGCCGGGCAGCGGTCAGTTGCAAATACTGCAGCAAGTGAGCTTGCTTGCACCGCCTCTCCCCACGGGGTCTCAGGCAGAAAGCATTTCGGTAGGCCAACCCGCAGTCCTCCTGACGACCCATGATCAAGCTGATGGAGGCACAGCACACCAGACTCTAATTCCTGCCCTTCCCGTGAGCAGCCAGGAGGCCTCCGCTAACCAGGCGTTTATCAACGGTGCGGGGATCAGCTGCTCGGACTTGGAAGGGCTCAATGCTTTGATTCAGGAAGGGGCAGGGGAAGTGACAGTGGTGAGCGACGAGGACCAAAACATCACTGTGACCTCAGCCCCGCCCGTCTTTTCCTCCCCGGCTCATCCAGATGTCTCAAAGCAAACCTACTCTATCATCCAGAGCGGAGCCCATGCAAGTTTGCTCTGTCCTGCGGACTCCATACCAGATTAGTCAGGGAAGAGGGGGGGGGAAGCCTGGCTTCACCATTCTGTTGACATACCAAGTTCAGCCTTGTGTCACGTTCTAGATTTGGGCAGTTGAGTTCAGCAGCCAAAGCAAACCCCGGAGTTAGAATGCCAACCCGTTGCTATGCTCGCTGGAAACAGAACATCTTCTCCCTTGGAGCATACCATGTGCACATATTGAATCTAGAGACAGTGCTGCATTGGAGGGATGATGTTCTGTGTGAGTTTTGCTCAGTGGGAATAGCCTTATTCAGAGATCACCCTCTCCCTTTCCAGGTCTGGAACCTGTGCTTGGTGGACCACTACTGGAGGCAGATAGGTCTTCTCTCTGGAATACTTCCTTCCCTGCTTGAAAACGATAGCCTTAAAAATATACCCACTGAAAGGAGTTGTCCTAGAGAAGCCACAAATCTGATGCATAACCTAACGTGCTTTTGGGGAAAGGATGGGATTCCCCCCACACACACACACACCTTTCACATTCATTCCCCAAATCTTAAAATCCTAGTAGTTCTTTTTTAAGGTACAACCTTTGACTGTAGCCCTGTGCTGGATTTCACGGCACTGATCACATCGGTACAGGCTAGGTCAGACAAGACACTAGGAGTTCCATGAACTCCCCGCATCCTTTAAAATTCAATAAACAGGCATGTGGGAGGGGCAGGTTTTAAATTGGGACCCTGGCACAAGGAGAAGCAAGGGAGAGTTTGAGCCCGCGCACCCCACGCACACACACACTAGCCATCTTCTTGACCTGGAACAATCCAAGAGAGCCCCTGTTTGCCCAAATGGGGCAAGCGCATAAGTTTCCCTCTGAGACATATAGGAGGCCATTTCAGGTCAGGAAAATGGCAAGGTGGGGAGGCTTAGGGCTGAATCCGGGTAGTGTCCACCAACTCTACCTTCCTGATGCAGGTGCCCCTCTTGTCATTCTTGAGGGCCCTCTGACTGCCCTCCAGGAGCAGCATTTCATGGAGATCGGTGGGAAGGGTGATGCAGGAAAATTCCATTCTGCTGACGGGATATTTACTCTGAATCCAACCCAACTTCTTAGCACGCACGCACACACCCCATCGCTCAGTAGGGCCGTGATCTGAATGACGGAAACACCATTTGCCGAAAATTCCATTCTGCTGACGGGATATTTAGTCTGAATCCAACCCAACTCCTTAGCACGCACACACACACCCCATCGCTCAGTAGGGCCATGATCTGAATGACAGAAACACCATTTGCAGAATTGCCAGTACCGCGTCTGCATTAGCCCTAAGAAATGGAAACCGGGTAGAGGATTGTCAGGTCAGTTCTGAAAACTGAGTTTTGTCATAGGAGCGGCCTAGTGAATACCTATGGTAATCTTCTGTGTTGGCTCAAACAGAAATAAAAGTTAATTTCTTCAACGCCCACTTCCCCTCCCCGTCAGCTGTTCCACATCACGTCCAGGAAGGACAGCTGCTG